CGCCCCTTACCCCCGGAAAATACCGGCCCGCGGGTTCCCCCCCCCCCCCCCCGGAACCGATCAGCCTTTATTTTTCCCCCCCCCAGGGTTAGCCAAAACAAGAGGGGGGCGGGGGGAGCCCCTTCCCCCCTGCCCCCCAAAAAAAGGGGGAACCCAAAAACCCCCCCCCCGCCCCCAAATTAGGGGTTTCCCCCCCCTCCTTTCCCCCCACCCCCTGGTTTTTCCCCCCGCCCCCGGGGGAACACAAGGCCCGGGAAAAAAAAAAACCCCTGGGTCCTAAAAAAAAGCAAACAAAAACCCCCCCCCTGGGGGGGGCCCCAAAACCCCTTTTCCCCCCCCCCCCCACCCCCCCCCCTTTCCCAAAACGGCCCCCCAACCCCCCCAAAAGGGGTTACCGGGGGAACCGGGGGGGGAAGGGGGGGGGGGGGGGGGGGGGGGGGTTGCGTACATCAAGAAGTCGTCATTTTGTCACCTGACAAAAAAAACGCATGGAACAATGCGAGAATCACGTAGCATCGAAAATACGAAGGTACCTCTGAGTATTAAAAACTTTGACGTGATCGGACACATGCATTTGTCGTCGCTTGGGCTCAGAGATCAGGGCGGACTTAGAAAAACAATAATAAATTAAAAAAAAAAAAATGTTAGGTAAAGTTTCCGCCAATACTACGACAAAACAAAAATACTGCGACAACAACCCCTTGTGTACTACCAGTGACAACACCAACATCTGCGGCAGTGTCTTGCTGTACCTGGGCGTGGAAGACTAGCGCCCTCATGGGAAACTCCACGAGGGGCAGCAGGACGTCCTGCGGCACGCGTGGAATCGCCATCCCTTCCTGGGCCAGGGTTTGCACCACCTGAATCAAGAACGACAAGCAACGAGAGGCCAACAACAGAGGAGCAAACGAAAACGCACAAAACGTGAGAACAGAAACAGCAAAGACGACGATAGCAACAAAAAAAACAGCAAAAAAAACAGGGTACACCTCGGTACTAGTTTTTTAGGCGGATCCAGGCGGGGCGGTACGTCAAAGTGGCGGTACTTTTTTGGCGGTTGGTGGTATTTCGTTTTCCGGCGGTACCGCCTTTGGCGGTTCCCGGTACTGCCAATAATGGCGGTACTTTTTTGGCGGTACGTCAATATGGCGGTTTTTTTAGGCGGTTCCCGGTACTGCCAAAATACGGCGGTATTTTTCTGACGGTACTGAAATATGGCGGTACCGCCTTCGGGCGGTTCCCGGTACTGCCAAATATGGCGGTACCGTCTTCAGCGGTTCCCGGTACTGCCAAATATGGCGGTTTTTTGGTGGCGGTACTGAAATATGGCAAATTGACTGGCCGCGGCCCGCATCCACCATGGTGCGAGACTCGCTTGAGGATTGCAGCTCTAGTTCCCTCGTAGCCACCGATTCCACATCCACAGAATCGCTCCCGTCCACAGAATCACCGGCAGCACGCGCCACCGACAAAGCAGCAGACCCATCTCCTACACTACTAGTAGCACCGGGATCCCCCTCTAACGCGCTCATTGCTCTGCTTGGCGCTGGGGCAACTGCTGCGTGTGTGATGTGTGTGTTCGAACCAGCGCTTTAAATAGGTGTTGCGGAGTTGCGGAAGCGCAACAATTGGATGGATATTGCGGCTTGCCGCAACGAAAAATTTTAGCCCGCAACACGTTCGCCGTAGGCGAAATATTTTTTTTGGGGGGGGTCCATTTCGCCGTAGGCGAAATTTTTTTTTGGGGCCCTTTTTCTCGCCATTATTAAATAACAACACTATTTTTGACGTAATTTCCTTTCAAAACCAAGTAAATATCCAAAAAAAATCGCCTCCGGCAACACGCCTGCGGCGTGTTGTTGCGGGAGCCTGTCGCGGCTATTTAACAGCGCTGGTTCGAACAGCTGACGATCGGCGACAGATGAAAGAGGTTCCGCCGAAAGGAACAAGGTAGAACCAAAAAAAATAAATATATATATGTGTATGACGACAGAGAACAAGAACAAAGAATAAATGTGAACAAAGACGCACGCCAGTTGGACTCGAACCACTGTTCTGCGCGAGACATGGCGTTGGAGTTAGTAGGTCCCTATGCTACTTTAGAGGGCAAAACTGTAGTATGGCGGTACGATTTTGGCGGTACTGCAGTACGGCGGTATTTTTTCGGCGGTACTGCAATATGGCGGTTCTCTTTTGGCGGTTCCCGGTACTTCGTGTTTTGGCGGTACCATTTTGGCGGTACTGCAGTACGGCGGTACTTTTTCGGCGGTACTGCAATATGGCGGTTCTTTTTGGCGGTTCCCGGTACTTCGTTTTTTGGCGGTACTTTTTCGGCGGTACTGCAATGTGGCGGTACTTTTTAGGCGGTCGGCGGTTTTTCGTTTTTCGGCGGTACCGCCTTCGGCGGTTCCCGGTACCACCGAATGTGGCGGTAATTCCCGCCAGTACCGGGACCGCCCACCACGGCGGGAAAAAAACGGCGGGAATTTTCCCGAGGTGTACCCTGAAAAAAACTACAAAAAAAACTGATCTACAAAGGCCAGGGGAACTTGGAAGCAAATAGAGCTAAAATGTGAGAGAATACATCACCCATCGAAAAAAAACAACTGAAACAACAACAAAACGAACAAAAACTCCGCCGCCGCCGCCGCCGCCGCGCAGCAGCAGCAGCGGCAGCAGCGGCACGTAGCCCCCCCCAACGACAAAAAACACCCACCTTGCAGAAGAACCGGTGGAGCGGCAGATGAAGTGACACCGCCTCTCCATGCACCTGGAAATCCACCCTCTCCCGAAGATCCGGGAAGGCCCGCGACAACCGACCGCCGGACACAGGGGTGGTCTTGTACACCTCGGTGTTATTGCGGGAATCAACCCACGTCTGTGTGTCAGGGGGGGGGGGGGCAGGAACAAAAGCGCGAATGCCAAGTTGGGGGGGGGGGGGGGGGGGGGGGGTAATTTTGT